CCCCTGGTGGTCAGTGCGCTCCCACAGCAGGAGCACCGTTCAGCTTACCGACCGGTCCCGTGGCCCACCAGCCCGTCGGCAACCACTCAGTCCCTCAGTAGTCCTGCAGGTCCAATCTCCGGAGAATGGGCCATGCACCGACGGACCAGCACCACCGGCATGATCCCGACAGTGCTTCCAGCCTCCTAGAAGTCGGCCGCGGGCACCACGGCCGCGTCCCCTCCCTAGACGCTCCAAAAGGAAGAAAGGATATAAACGCGGCCGCCAGGTGGCTCCCGACAATCGGTGCGAACGTCAGCGGGACGGATCCAGATCCCGGGCCAGCAAGGGTGTCCCACAGCCTGCCTGGAGGGCTGATCATGTCCCAGCCCCGACACCACCCTGGGAATGCCACCCGTGCATGAATTTGTGCACCAGGCCTCTAGTTAAGATCATAAAAATGGAAAGCCAGACTAGTTTATCTTTTAGAAAACCCTTTCCAGAAAAAAATACTTTATAATATTTACACAAGAAATCCAGAGTGATTTTCGTTTTCCATTTGTCTTTATACAGACCCATCTGAGGCAACAGTAAGTACACTACGAGAAGCTTCTTACCTCTGGTGTCATTTTCTATTTCTGTCCTCCAGCGATGTAAACAGCTTTCCAGCACAGAAAGTTCTTCTTCTGTTATGTGCCTTGGTGCTGGATGCATGGGCAAGTCTGGAGGTATTCGAGACTGAGTGAATGGTTTGTGAATCATCGATCTTGATGATATGGCAGCTATTGATGTAGGTGATGTGCTTGGCAATTCCGAAGAGGCAGCTCCCTGTTGTTCCATTGTGCTGTATTTTTAAAGCATAAAATATTATTAAACTTTCCAAATTGAAGCTCTGGACAAAGACTGTGCCAAATACATAGCATTAAATTGGCTTATAATTTCAAAAAGAAACGGTCTTAAGAATAGAAGAGATGTGGAGTAACCTAACATCCTCATGAGTTCCTTAACGTACAAGGACTACATTATTTTAAGGAAGAAATTGTGGCTGTATAGTAGAAATAGCTTGATCATATCTACTTAAAAAAACAACACACCAACAAATCTTATGTGTACCAAAAGTATAAATACCTTTCCTTGCTAATACTTACCAGCTTACATTGTAGAAGAAATTTCAAATTTAACAATATTATTTTCATGAATAAAAGGTTGAAACAGATAACATACTAAAACAACCTAAAGTATAACTCTGAATAGAAAATATATGAAAAATTAAATCCACAACCAGAAAAATTAAATCACAACCTATTGAAATAATGAAGTAAGAAAGCAGCTAGAACACATACAACAAATGTTCTAAGTGAATCTAATCTTTTTAGAATTCATTAAAATTAATCACAACATGCATCTTATAAAACCTTCTTCAAAGGGTACCAATTACATTATTATGTAATATAGAAAGCACAGCTTGTCTTTTGTATCAAAAAGACTTTTTACCTTGGTAATGCCTGTGATGGTACGGAACCACTAGGTGGGGAACTAGCATCAATATCATCAACAGGAGAAGTGCAAACAGGTTTACTTGAGGCAAATTCCAATGCATACTGTAGAACATCTACCAACGGAAAGCGCTTGGGACCCGAACCATAGCTTAAATATCTATTAACCATAAAATGTATGAATGCTTTAATTTGCATATAAAGCAAATTTGTGTTTTTCAAAAATTTTTATACAACATGATACAAATACTTCAATAAAACTCTCAGCAATGAAATTAATTTTCAGATGAAGACAGTAAGACTAAATATACATTCAAGAAATAAATTAAATATTCTCCCAAAGAAACCAAAGCTGATTAAACCTGAATGTGTGTATACACTGTTATGAATTTTAACACTACTCTAAGTTTCATCTCCTAAGACTATTTTTTAGTTGTTACTTGGTTTCATGGTGACTAATATTATCTTCCTACTTTTTTTACCTCTGGTTATTTTTCAATATTATTACTGACTAGAGGCCCGGCGCACAAAAATTTGTGCACTCGGGAGGGTCCCTCAGCCCGGCCTGTGCCCTCTCGCAGTCTGGGACCCCTCGGGGAATGACCACTTGCTGGCTTAGGCCCGCTCCCCGGGGGATCGGGCCTACACTGGCAGTCAGACATCACTCTGGAAGCCCGGGAGCCCTTGAGTGATGTCCACTTGCCAGCCGGGAGCAGGCCTAACTGCAGTCGGACATCCTTAGCGCTGCTGAGGAGGCAGGAGAGGCTCCCACGACCACCGCTGTACCGGCAGCCGTCAGCCTGGCTTGTGGCTGAGCAGAGCTCCCCCTGTGGGAGTGCACTGACCACCAGGGGTCAGCTCCTGCATTGAGCGTCTGGCCCCTGGTGGTCAGTGTGTGTCATAGTGACCAGTGATTCCCAGTCGCTCTGCTGTTAGGGTCAATATGCATATTACCCTTTTATTATATAGGATAGAGGACTGGTGCATGGGTGGGGCCTGGCTGGTTTGCCCTGAAGGGTGTCCCAGATCAGGGTGGGGGTCCCGCTGGGGTGCCTGGCCAGCCTGGGTGAGGGGCTGAGGGCCGTTTTCAGACTGGCCACACACCCTTCAGGGTGGGGGTCCCCCCTGGGATGCCTGGCCAGCCTGGGTGAGGGGCTGATGGCTGTTTGCAGGCTGGCCACAGCCCCTTCAGGGTGGGGGTCCCCGCTGGGTGCCTGGGCAGCCTGGGTGAGGGGCTGATGGCTGGCTGCAGGCTGGCCACAGCCCCTTCAGGGTGGGGGGTCCCCGCTGGGTTGCCTGTCCAGTCTGGGTGAGAGGCTGAGGGCCATTTTCAGGCTGGCCACACCCCATTCAGGTTGGGGGGTCCTGCTGGGGTGCCTGGCCAGTCTGGGTGAGGGGTTGATGGCTGTTTGTAGGCTGGCCAAGCCCCCCAGCAGGGACCCTCACCCCATGAGGATGTGGCCATCCTGGGTGAGGGGCTTATGGCTCTTTGCAGGCTGACCACAGCTCCCAGCCACCCAAGCTCCCAGTGGAGGCTGGCTGGAAGCAGGTATCTGGGATTTATTTAGCTTCTATAATTGAAACTTTGTTGCCTTTTGTGGAGGCCACAGCTGGCTGGGCAGGCGGGAAGCTTGGCTTCCTCCATCGCCGGGGCAACCAAGCCTCCTAATTGATCCAGCTCCGTGGCTGCCGGCCGCCATCTTGGTTGGGTTAATTTGCATATAGTCACTCTGATTGGCTGGTGGGTGAGGCTTGGGCGTAGCGAAGGTACGGTCAATTAGCATCTTTGTCTTTTACTAGTGTAGATACCTTTTAAGAATAAGATTTATTGAAATATGATCTATTTTATTTGTATAATAAAATTTCAGGGTATTTTCAAATTAGCACTAAAACAAGGGAATAAAGATTACATCAGAGGCTGCAAACTGGCATCTGGCAGATGACATTTCAGCCTGGGGACTTTATCTAAACTACAGAACATTTGACAGTCTAGATGTTGGCTTCTGGGAACAATCTGATACTTTAGGGATACTGAAATGACATTTATCATGACTCCACGAGCTAATGTGGCTGGCAGCCACTCCCTCTCCAAGGGGTGTGCTCTAGGCACCCCTGTCCACCACTATGTTTGACTTGTTGCCTTTCTTCAGAAAGCCTCCATGAGGTCCTGGTAGGCATCTGAGTTTGTATCTTCTGTATTAAGGAGGAAAACTCAGTCACCATTTGTCTTAAAGGAAATCTCAAGAGTAATATTTAGTATCATGAAAGAAGAAACCTCAATTATAAATTAGTTTATATCTATTTTCAGAACCATACCTGTTGTTGGTGAGAATATTTAACTTTAAATACTAGAATAATCTTCTAATGAGAACTATAAAAGATTTTAAGTTTCCAACAGAATTAAAAACTAAACTATATAAGCAATAATATCAGTTCAGAATTATTATCTACTCCTAGGATCATAAATTACTCAAGAAAAATGTAAGATTAAAAATTCTAGATAATCGCTAAAAGCATGAACTTCTACAGTTAGCTCATAATTCTGTAAAAGTTACAATACCTTTCTAGTCTTTGTTGTAATACTGTAAGGTAATCCTTCAGTCTCTTGATCTCTTCCCTCTTAATTCTTGTTATTTCTCTATTTCTGTGCATGTATCTTGCAGAAAAAAAAATAGCAATCATTAGTATCTCTAAATATTGTGGAAGGAGATACAATAGTAAGTCTAGGCCAGTGGTTGGCAAACTGTGGCTCGCGAGTCACATGAGGCTCTTTGGCCCTTGAGTATGGCTCTTCCACAAAATACCGACTTCTGTGCACGGGCCACGAAGTCTCAATCGCACTGTAAGTGCGCGCCCACACGTGGTATTTTGTGGAAGAGCCACACTCAAGGGGCCAAAGAGCTGCATGTGGCTCGCAAGCCGCAGTTTGCCGACCATTGGTCTAGGCAATCCCATAGAAGATCAATTCATTCAAAATTTTATAATAAAAATAGAGGCCTGGTGCACAAAATTCATGCACTTGGGGGGGGGGGTGTGTGCTTCAGCCCGGCCTGCACCCTCTCACACCCTCGGAAGATGTCCGACAGAAGAGGCTCCCGCCACCACCACTGTACCTGCCAGCCATGAGCCCGGCTTCAGGATGAGTGGCGTTCCCCCTGTGCGAGCGCACTGACCACCAGGGGGCAGCTCCTGTGTTGAGCATCTGCCCCCCGATGATCAGTGAGCATCATAGCAACCGGTTATTCCACTCTTTGGTTGATTTGCATATTAACCTTTTATTATATAGGATATCAAACAGTATAAAATAGTACTTTTGAAAATTTCTGACAGAATTATAATACAAGAATATAATAATCTTTTTAAAAACTTCCTTATAATTTCCATTTACTATACTTTTTCTTGACAAATGCTACTAAATATTTTATACAAAAATTAAAGAATTTAAGGAAATTAAACAAAATTCTTCTCTAAACACAGTAATTCTTCACTTGGTTACTAAACTGTTTCTAAACTAATTTATGCTATATCCCAAACCATACCTGTCCAGATATAAAACTTGAGGAAATTCTAATTTGTTGTGAATTTTTTCTGGTCTTCCCAATGCCTGATTAAATTCAAATCTTGACAATTCAAATGTTAACACAGGTGGTAGTTCGGTAAACCAATGCTGAAAGAAACAATAATTCAAAACATTAGTATCATCTTTCTGTTTTCTCCATTCCAAATTTAGGCATAGGATGTCAGCAGTGACATTTTTATATGCATCGTCACAATGATGACATCACAAAAAAATTAAATTAGGTATGGTATTTAGATAAAACTTTCACACTTTTTGAAAATTCCAAGGATGAGGCTAACATACAACCAGGAAAGAGAAAAATCTTCTAACAATTCTTCTTCCATGACAATTCTTTATATTAGAATTTCTAACCCAAAGAGAAAGCCATTGGTTAAAATCATAACTTAGTAGCTCAAGTTTTTTATTTTTAAAATCCTTATTGTTGAAAATATTACATATGCCCCCTTGTTTTCCCCATAGACCCTTCTAACCCTCTCCCTCACCCTACCCCATGCCTTCCCCACCCTATTTTGTCTGTGTCCATGGGTTATGCATATATGTATATAAGTTCTTGGCTGATCTCTTCCCACCCAACACATCCACCGCTGCCTTCTGTCTGAAATTCAACAGTCTGTACCGTGCGTCTATGTCTCTGGATCTATTTTGTTCATCAGTCTATTTTGTTCATTAGATTAGCTCAAGATTATATTACTACTGCTACCATAAATGGTATATATTCTTATTACAATCATCCATACTGTCAAAACCTGTGACAAAGTCCCAACATGTAGTACATAAAGGAAAAAAAATGTTATAACATAAATGATCACAATTCTCATACTTAAAAACTAGGAACTGTTTTAAACTTAATTGTCCTACTAGAAATTTGAATAATTTAAGAAAAAGATATATCACTAATAAGTATTTATGGTAATTATATTTGAAATCCTTTATAGTAACTAGTATTTAACAAATTAAATGCCTCATTGCTATGAACCAAATCCAGCACAACTTTGGGGAATGTTCAGTTAAGAATGTTATACAACAAAACTTAAAAAAAAATTTTTTTTTCATAGAAAACATTCAAGTTTTATATAAACACTAGAGACCTGGTACATGAATTCGTGCATGGGTGGGGTCTGGCTGGCCCACCCCAATACGGGCTGATTGGGGCTGGGCCGCTGGGGGGAGGCGATGTGGGAGGTTTGATGGCAGGCCTCGTCCCTGATCGGGGTAGGTGGAGGCAGATCGGGGCCCCAATCAGGCCGGTTGGCCACCACAGTGCATGTCATAACGACTGGTTGTTTCAGTCGCTTGGCTTTTATATATATAGATTATTAACTTAAAGAGAAAGAAAAACCAAGAAATTCAGAAGTATAACATAATGGAACAAATAAATTTAAAGTGGTTATTATAAGCTATAAAATTTATTTTTTACTACTATAAAAATAAATTGCCACACTAAATTATGTGTGATGTTTTCAATAACCAAAAAATGACACCACACAAATGTCAATAAGCTGAGAGTACATTAAATTCAAACATCCAAAGTAAAAGCAGGAATGAAGCACATCTGGCAAACTGAATTTAACTAAAATCTTGAAAGTTGCTACTTTTCTCTAAATAAAGCTAATAAAAGTATACAGTTATGTGGAGAGCAGCTACAGTATTTGGACAGGTTCAAGCCTCGAACTAAATACAGGGCACGGTCCTCTCATGGCAAAGCCACATACAAGTCCTAGCTTGGAGGGCAAAACCCTTCCAGCACAATTATGGCCAAAGGCTATAGTTGTAAGCTTGACCTTATGGTCCGAACCTGTGGTCCCACGTGGCTAAGTGATATAGGCTGCGGGAGGTGCAGCAAGTAAATAAAGCTTCATCAGGTGCATGTAATTGAGTAGATTCGAAACCCGTGAGAACATTGTAAACATCTTACCCATGCCCTTACTTTGCCTAGTGGAATCTGGCTATAAAATAAAGACTCGGCTTGCAGGCTGTGGCGCTGTCTCTCCATCAGAGAGGGCAGCATCCCACCTAGCCCCAGCTTTATTCTCTTGTCTGTCTTTTCTAATCCTTCACCACCCCCACTCAGGTTCACCCATGGACATGCTGAGCGTGGCACACAGTTATTCAAACAATTTCTCCCTCCCCAAATGTTAATGATTACCTGAATTGAGATTTCCTAAGTTGGATTTGGTTCATCTTTTACTAAAAGTTGAGGTTTAAGAAGAAATTTGTTTTATTTTATATATGGGTATTATCTAAAGTTGACTAGAGAATGTTATGAAAGATCTAATATCAAAAACATCTCGTAAGTTTTAAAATTTCTTGAACAGATTTGCTTATTTATTTTGTTCTCACAAACCATTGGCAAAAATTTTAGTTAGCTGTAATCCACACCTAAAATTACTATTAAGATTGAAAACATACTCCACAACCAAAGAACTTGTATGCAAGCATATGCGCATAACCAAAGGACACAGATGGTAAGGGGGGCTGGGGACAGGTCAATGGGGGAAAAGGGAGACTTATATAATACTGTAAACAATAAAGATAAAACATACCCCATACATATCACCAAAAAAACTTTTAATGCCTTAGGATATTATTCTCTACTCCATTTTATGATACAATAAAATCTTAAACAATAAAATAAAATTTAAAAAACGATGCTTATATTCTCCACATCCCTAAACATATTTATTATACTTATTAAATAAGTATATAATTAGATTTCAAGAACTATTACTTTCATATTTTATTGCAACATTTTATTTTTTGTTGTTGTTAATCCTCACCCCTGGGTATTTTTCCATTGATCTTTTAGAGAGATTGGAAAAGAGAGGGAAAAATAGGGAGAAACATCGATTGGTTGCCGCCTACAAATGCCCTGACCAGGGCACGGGTCAGGGAGGAGCCTGCAACCAAGGCACGTGCCCTTGACCAAAATCGAACCCAGAACCCTTTGGTTCACAGGCCAACACTCTATGTACTGAGCCAAACTGGCTAAGGTAGCGGTTCTCAACCTGTGGGTCGCAACCCCTTTGGGGGTCGAACGACCCTTTCACAGGGGTCGCCTAAGACCATCAGAAAACACATATATAATTACATATTGTGTTTGTGATTAATCACTCTGCTTTCATTATGTTCAATTTGTAACAATGAAAATACATCCTGCATATCAGATATTTACATTACAATTCATAACAGTAGCAAAATTACAGTTAGAAAGTAGCAACAAAAATAATTTTATGGTTGGGGGTCACCACAACATGGGGAACTGTATTAAAGAGACACGGCATTAGGAAGGCTGAGAACCACTGGGCTAAGGCTTTTGCAACACTTTAAAAGTCACCATTAAAATGAAATAGTCATATACTTTAATTCATGGGAACCTACAACTGTCAGAGGAAATGAAACGACTTAAATTGGGGGTATGTTTCTCTGGAGACCATAAAAAGTCCAGGAAATAGCTTCCAAACCTTACCAAAGTATGTTCATAATACGTTGTGCAATCTGTGTCTATGGTGAATGCATTTTCTCTAACAACCATGACAATTTTTCCTACCTACTACATACATGGAAGCATTTTACTTTCTCATTCTCAAGCTAACAGGGAAAAGAAGAGGTAGCCAGACACTCCCTAAATTCATTTAAGAAAATGTTATGGGTATCTCTAGTTCTGTGATTTCAGGATTAAAAGGATAGTAGAGTATAAGTAGACTATTAAATAAAACACTAATTTTTATTTCAAAATATTTTTCCATGTGATAAAAAACACATGTACTTCTTTGATCTAACTGGTATGCAATGCTTGTGAGACATAGAACATTAAAGATAAAAACGATGCTTTATAAGAACAGACATATAGACCAATGGAACAGAACAGAGAACCCAGAAATTGACACAAGCCAGTATGCTCAATTAATATTTGACAAAGGAGGCAAGAGCATACAATGGAGTCAAGACAGTCTCTTCAATAAATGGTGCTGGAAAAACTGGACAGATACTTGCAAAAAAATTAAACTAGGCCACCAACTTACACCATACACAAAAATAAACTCAAAATGGATAAAGGACTTAAATGTAAGAAGGAAAACCATAAAAATACTAGAGGATTCCATAGGCAGCGAAATCACAGACATCTGCCAAAGCAATATCTTCACTGATACTGCCCCTAGGGCAATGGAAACTGAAGAGAAAATAAACAAATGGGACTACATCAAAATAAAAAGCTTCTGCACAGCAAAAGAAACCATAAACAAAACAACAAGAAAGCCCACTGCATGAGAGAACATATTTGCCAATGTTATCTCCCATAAGGGTTTAATCTCCAACATTTACTGGGAACTCATACAACTTAACAAAAGGAAGGTAAACAATCCAATCAAAAAATGAGCAAAGGACCTAAATAGACACTCTTCGAAAGGACATTCAGAAAGCCAAGAGACATATGAAAACACTAGAGGCCCGGTGCATGAACATTCATGCACTGGAGGGGGGGGTCCCTCAGCCTGGCCTGCTCCCTCTCACAGTCCAGGAGCCCTCAAGGGCGGGAGACCTGGGGATCAGGGTAAGGCGACACCCCATCACACCTCTGCTGCTGCCACTGCCTACAGCACAAGCCTCGGCCGGCCCTGGTTACCTGAGCCTCGGGCGGCCCTGGAAAGCTGGGGGGCTGAGGGGATTGGGGGACTCCAGAGGCAGGCGTGCAGGGCTGGCCTTGCTGTGTGCCCGCCATCCCAGCGGGGCTGAGGGGACTGGGTACCACTATCTTGTGGCTGTGGGTGCTGCCATCTTTGAGGGCAGGGAAGTCAATTAGCATATTCTCTCCTTATTGGCTGTGGACGCTGCCATCTTTCCAACTGCATGAGGGTCTATTAGTATATTCTCTCTTTATTAGATAGGATGCTCAAAGTCACTAATCATCCAAGAGATGCAAATCAAAACAATGAGGTACCATCTCACACCTGTCAGAATGGCTATCATCAACAAATCAACAAACGACAAGTGCTGGAGAGGATGTGGAGAAAAAGGAACCCTCGGGCACTGCTGCATCCAAGAGATGCAAATCAAAATAACAATGAGGTGTCTTCTGACCTCATTGG